TTTTTTTTTTTTTTTTTTTTTTTTTGATAAAAACGATACTTCATTAAAAGGCACGCAGCCAACAGAACAAAACATAACACAGTTCAGAGAGTACAAAATCAAAACAAATCCGACAAATCAGCACACACAAACCCAGTCCAGAAAGGACTAGAGCCCGGGAGGCAAGACACATCAATTACACCAAACTTTTTGTTAGTAAAACACCAAGTTGCTAAATTGTGTGCTATAGTGTCACCGTCTACTCCAATTTAAAATAGACTATATATAAATAATAGAAAAAAAATATTGGTTTTATATCTAGATTTGAATATTGCCAAATCAGTAATCCCAGACTCTGCCCTGAGTAGATTGTAGCGGTATGTCTTACAGTGTATAAAATGCCGTATATATTTTCTTCATTGTTAGAACTTCGTTGGCATATATCAAGACACCAGGTACCCCATGAAAGGGTCCAAAGGAAAGTTACATCCACCAGTTTTGAAGGACAAATTGCCGCATCAACACCGCCAAAATGCTGCCCATCGTTATGTTTATGACATTCACAGCGTCGTTGGTGAGCTACAAAAACAAGAAGTGAAATCATTCGAGTGAGACATTGAAACAACAAGACTAACAGGCAAAAACAAGAAGTGAAATCATTAGAGTGAGACATTGAAACAACAAGACTAACAGGTCAAACTGAAACATTAGATCCTAAATCCTTCGAGTCATGTCACCCGCCAAAAGAGGGAGTATTCACTGCATACTATTACTAGGGTACAAGTTAAAAGTGAAAAGGGTTATAAAACCCGATTGCACGACCAGCTCCAACAGAAGCCACACAAAACTTTGGGAATCCCAAATAAAAATCAGCAATGCCTATAAATCCATGCTTGAGGGCGGTAAGAACTTACCATTCACCAGCCCCAACTGTTAGATCTAATTTTACGTCGGGTGTCACAGATAGTGTTGGAACATTGTCTGGAACACTGGTTGATTAATTGAGTTTTGGATTAATTACGTTCAGTTGCTCGGGCAGAATAAAATGCACAAAGTAAAGAATTACACAATATGGTATCGCAGTTCGGTACACATACCTACATCTGCGGTGCCACTTCCAGACAGTAAACAGTTCACTATGTTCCAAAGATTTACAGACACCAACAGACTTATTCACTCAGGACTCCCTCCTAGATACAGACCCTGCTATGACGAATCTCCACAGTGATTGTTTAACGTGCACCACACGTTTTCAATCTGCTCGGCAAACTCCCTTCGTCTGGCAGAGCGCTGATAGGATTATGTTAGTCATTAGTAATCAATATAATAAGTGGTTAGTGGTTTGTTATTAGGGTTGGTTTGTTGTGTTTGTTAAGTAGTTAGTAGTTAGTTAGGCCTTGGGATTGATGACTGGATTAAGAGATAGTGAGTATACATAGAACAAAGGTAGAATAAGGGATGATTATTGAGTTTGTGAAACTTCTGAGAGAAGATAGTCTAGGGAGAGCAAGGGATCTCTCGAATATCCCCATATCTCTTTCTGTAACCCAATTTCCGCCATTGATATTAATCAAAGCTTCCTGTTAGCATTTCTCTTTCCGATTTGTCATTTTCAATTGGTTGTTTGGATTGGAGCTTATCAAATTGGTATCAGAGCACTTTCTTGGGCGAAATTCAGAGAAGATGGAGGGAACATATGGACGTTGGCAGCAATTAGAGAAGCCAATGTTTTCTGGAGAAGATCCGGATACGTGGATAGCAAGAGTAGAAGAATATTTCTTGAAAAATCGATTTTCAGAGCAAGACAAAGTGACGTTCATTGGGGCGTTCATGGAAGGTAAAGCTCTTCAGTGGTTTCAATGGGAGGATAGAAGGCGGCCATTCGTTTGTTGGAGTGCTTTTAAGACGCATTTGTTTCAATGTTTCCAACCAGTAAAGGGAAACTGTTCTATTGCGAAGGTTGAAGCCATGGTTCAAAATGTGGAACAACTTCTAAAGAGGATGGAGGAGAGATTTGGAGCGGCGGGGGCGTCGACCATAGCAGCAGATTGACGTCAAGAGCTATCAGATTGCAAGGTGAACGGCAATCTGGAGTCGAAATCTAGGTTTTCAGAGTTTCCAATCTTGGGGTTTTTGGAGGTTCGCGACCAAATCTGGGAGACCGAATCCGACGAGCGACGCTAGAGGAAGCGCGATCAGAACCCAAAGAACACCACCAACGATCAACGCCACATGAGCTGCGAACTAGTCTGTGTGACGATCTGCGATTAGATCTGAGTGGGCCGACGCAACCAGTTTTGGAATCGCAGGAGGATGACAACGATTCGATCAATTTTTCACGATCGGGTGCGATATCGCTCGGATCTGAGTCAACCGGCACCAATCTGAGGGCGGATGATGATCGGAGGCTGGGGAAGGAGGCAGATCTTCCCAGAGAAGAGTCTAGGGTTTTCGGACTTGGAGATGTTGGCTAGGATCATGTGGAACGGCACAAGGAAGGGCATATCAGACTGCCGAAGGGAAAGGTGGCTGAACGCGAGGAGAACCCGTGCAGTGGAGGGGTCGATCTCGACTAGAATCGACCCAATCTGCGACGGGACCAGTAGATCAGCATCGGTTGCGGCTTGGGAAGCCCAGATTTGCAACGGGGATATGCAATGGGGAGGGCCGATCGACGTTGGAATTGGCCTGGGCGGTGCTCAGGGTTGGCAGGAGTTACGATTTGTCCATAATCTTTTGGATCCACAACCTGGAGTTTAGATTGGCAGGGAGCAGTGCCGTGGAGTGCTGATTGGCAATGGGCTAGAGCTGAACTTCGACCAAAGGCCGCGCGGAGGAGAACTGGTGGACGGGGCACTGACAGACGTGGAAAGGCAAAGAGGGGGGCTTGTCTGGTTGCGTGATTTGGAGCGGGAAGCCAGCCCCGATCTGAGCCCATATGGGGCTCGTCGGGTCAGAGAATTAGACCCGGATTTGGCTGGGTCTTGCGATTCTAGTGTGGGCAGAGTCACATTGGGCTTGGTTGGGCCTAATTAAGGCGTAATAGGTTTAATAGGGATATTCGGCGTGAGTTCCAGCAAGATTTGGGCTGGGTTCTGAAATTCCGGCCGGATTTGGACTGGGTGCTGTGATTCTGGCGCGATTGGGGCTGATTTCCGCACAATTGGGGTTGGGCTTCGTGATTATGGTGCGATTGGGGCATATTCGGGCGAGCCAAGTGATGGGTTCACCTTTCCAAGGCTCTATTTTTGGGTTAATTAGCACTGAGTTGGGTTCTTTGAAAGTTGCTGCCACCTTTGACGTTCCAAGGTTCACGTACATTGAAATGGGAAGAAGATGGCATCATTCAAGTGCAATTACCTGATCAACACCCTAAGGACAAGGTGTCTTGGGGAGGGGAGTAATGATAGGATTATGTTAGTAATTAGTAATCAATATAATAAGTGGTTAGTGGTTTGTTATTAGGGTTGGTTTGTTATGTTTGTTAAGTAGTTAGTAGTTAGTTAGGCATTGGGATTGGTGACTGGATTAAGAGATAGTGAGTATACATAGAACAAAGGTAGAATAAAGGATGATTATTGAGTTTGTGGAACTTCTGAGAGAAGATAGTCTCTAGGGAGAGCAAGGGATCTCTCGAATATCCCCATATCTCTTTCTGTAACCCAATTTCCGCCATTGATATTAATCAAAGCTTCCTGTTAGCATTTCTCTTTCCGATTTTTCATTTTCAATTGGTTGTTTGGATTGGAGCTTATCAAGTGCTTCCTTCTGAAAGCAACAAATCCATCTCCCGAAGAAGGATGAACACTTCAATACGCTCACACACTCACATACTATACTCTGAATATTTTTCTCTATTAAGTCCGTTACCCTTTTTTTTTTTTTGAGCTGAACACAAGCCCTTAAAATAAGGCTTCCAAAGCTACTCGAGAATCACTCCCCCAAAGATCTTTTTTTCTTTTCATGATTCTCTTTTAGATTATTCCACAAAATCTTCTCCTCAAAATATGCGCTATCTTATCAAAGCTCCTGCACGTTATCTCCACGTCGAGCATGTTTAAATTCAAACTAGAACTAGATCTCCTTTTGAATTCAGATTATGCACCACCTTATCTAAATCCGACTCAATGTATAGACCAATATCACGTTGACTCCATTTTCACCTTTTCGGCATTAATATGCACTTTGAATTTCAAAACCGATTTTCAACATGCAGCATATAATCTCCTCGTTCAAATGGCATTTGGTTTGCACAATATATATATATCTTCACATGCTAGCCACAATCATTCTCAATGAAGCTGTACACCACATGCTATATCTCCCATTTATATCCAAATCCACTTTTGCAGATAAAGCTCACTAATTCTCTAGATAATATATGCCATTTAAACTTCAAAGCTCCAACGTATGCTATATGAATTCTGATTCTCCTTATCTTACCCGCTAAAGCTTCTCTCAATTAGATAACCACCAGATAAAAAATTTTCTACACAAATCTGCTCTCAAACGATTAAATATCCAACAAATATCTGCTTCAATACCGATTAAAATCAGCAAAAAATCTGCACTGAATCTGGTTTAAACTCATCACATAATCTGCACAAAAATTCCACGTAATCTGCACATAATCAGGTTCAAAGCTGCCTCCAAATTAGGCTGAAATCTGGATCTTCACTGAACCTTCTAGAACCTGTTTTTGAATCTATTACAGATGAGGACAGTTGCCAAAGCAGCCAACTAACAAAAACCCAACACCAACGTTCATAATATTGAATGAAAGCCTAGTTCACTCTAACACACCCGAAAAGAAGAAAGAATTATTAAGATAGAAAGATCTACAAGTGAAAATAAAGTAACAATAGAGGAAACAAAGAAAGAGTAGTCTTGACATGGTTGCCTACCCATTGAAATCCTTCCTTCTCTTGAAGAGCGGCACCTATTATGCTCTCGCCAAGATTGGCAATTTGGGAAGCCAGTACGCATATAACTGTTTCAGGTGCATTTATCTGTTTCACAAGAATAAAATTATTAAAGGAGACTCAAATTCTCTTATAAACGATGTCCAAAAATCAAAATAAAAAAAGGAAAAATAGCAAAGCAACATACGTTTGGACAAAGAGATGGAATATAGTAAACACTACCTGACCCATGAGACAAGCAACAGACGCAAGGAGAATTGAGGCTAAAACTCCAGCAAAGGTTCCCTCAACACTAACAGCTCCTTCTGTTCCTCTTGGGACTACTTTAAATGTTGTAACTAGATACCTGGTCGTAAGGCACAGATTTGAAAGATTAGAATTTTCACAAATATTTGAAATGCACCAGAAAACCTTGAATTTAAATAACAATACTCATTAATTGGTTATCAACCTACAACATGGTTTTCAATTGCTATATTTCTTAAATGTAAAAGGATCTCGTCTTTATTTTAAATTGTTCTAATTTAAAAGAAAGTCGACCCTCTCATTCTAAGTCATAATGATATTCCAATTTGCTGGAGCAAAAGCAGAGCAACATGAGCTTCTAAGTTAAGTAATTTCAATAAATAGAACAAGAATCGCAAAGGAAACAAAAGTTTCCACGAATTCAAAAATGTAACAATATGGTAATAATAAAAATAAAAATAATAAAAAAGAAACACTACGGTGAATGCTAATAACAGTGATAAGAGAGCCACATCCATACAAGCAGATATATTATAAAACTTACGTTGTTTTGCCATATGCCTTTCCTATCTCACTTGCAATGGTATCACTCAACTTAGTACAGAAACTGGCAACAAATCCTAGTTCCCAGATGCGGGAGTAAGCCTTTCCCCCTACTCCAAATATCGACAGAAAAGCGCAGATACAACCGGCAGTGCTGGAACCAATAACACTGCCAGGTCCTCTTCTTCCTTTCCTCCTCTCAGCTACTCCCTGAGCCTCCTTTTGCGCCATTTTCACCTTTGTTGCTGCCGTGCCCTGATTAGATAAAGAATTTCAGACCACATAGCATAAGGTCACGTAAATTGCAGCCTTAGAAATTATTTGCTTAAAGGCTGGAAGCATCAAGCAAATAAAACACTGCAAACTTTTGGAATCTGGTTGTGGAGAAGGTTTTGAAAATATTGGACAATTGGAAAAGGAGCTTTTTATCTAGAGGTGGTAGGTTGACTTTGATTCAATCAGTTTTGGCAAGCATTTCAATATATTTCTCGTCACTTTTCAAACTACCGGTGTCCATAGCAAAAGATTTAGAGTAAACTTAGGTGTTTCCTGTGAGATAGCTCGGAAAATGGTCGAATTGATAATTTGGTGGCTTGGAAAGTAGTTTCCCTGAGTAAGAAGGAAGGTGGGCTTGGAGTTGGGAATCTGGTAAGGAAAAATCAAGCCTTATTGGGGAAATGGTTGTGGAGGTTTCCTTTGGAACATGACTCCCTATGGGCTGCAGTCATTAGGAGCAAGTACGGACTCCAATGTAATAATCAGGACTCTAACATTGTAATCAGGGGTACTCATCGGAATCCTTGGCAAGGAATCTCACAAGGCATGGAATTGTTTCTTGAGAGAGGAAAATGGAGGGTGGGGAATGGTTCATCCATCAGATTTTGGGAAGTTCTTTGCTGTGGGGATAAGCCGTCGGCTGTCTCCTTTCCTAAACTTCTACAGTCTAATTAACAACAGGGATGTCAAAATAAAAGAGTGTGATAAACTTTCCAACTTGAGTTAGAATTTTGGTTTTAGAAGGAATTTAAATGACAGAGAGTGTGATCAGCTTTCTAATCTTCTCGTCTTTGGGGGATTTTTCTTTAGCGCCACTTGCTTTTGATCGGCGAGTGGGAATGTGTGATCCAAATGGATTTTCATGCAGTTCTTTTTTTCTTTCTTTGACTCAATCCGAACCATTGCATAACTTTGAACTGTTAGGCTCCTGGGAATTCTTTTGAAAATAATTGTTGACTGGAAAGAACAATAGCGTAATTGAATGGAAAATAACCAGAAAACAGGTCTGGTTCCTTTTATTGAAGCAAAAGAAACGGAAATACAAATAATAGGGGAATTCGAGGACCCTCTAGCCTCCCAAGTGATCGTCTCCTAATAGCAAAATTCTCGATGCCTTCTCTATTCCTGGCCTAGGCTATTTATTCTCAACCCTGTAACTAACAAGCCACAGCCCTCCTATCGTAACACGAATCCCCTTGCCTTCCCACATCCCAATGCCGAATATCCTAACCGTAACGCTTACCCCGAAGCTAACTGATACTCCAAATTACCCTCCAGCCCTTGCTTGCCCTTCTTCCCCCTTCTGGCATACATGAACTTGAGAGGTGGAGACCTAACATTACCCCCCTCCTCGAGTACAACCTTGTCCTCAACGTTGAAATCTGGAAATTGCTCCTGAATCACAGTGACAGGTTCCCAAGTGGCATCCCAAGAAGGTAGTCCGGCCCACTGAACCAACCTCGGCCACGTGACGACCCCCTACAATGATGGTGCGAGAACCCAAGAAGGTGGCAGGCTGCACCAGAAGTTCGAGATCCGTGGTCAACTGAGCAGGGAGGGGTTGACCCTTGTATTGTTGACCCTTAAACTGCTTCAACTGCGAGACATGAAAAACCGGGTGAATCTTGGCGGAGGCTGCCAGATCCAAGCGATATGCAACCGGTCCGAATTTCTCCAGAATAGTGAAAGGCCTATAGAAACGCGGGCTCAGTTTTTCGTTAACTTTCTGAGCTAGAGACTTCATGAAGGGTGAAGTTGCAACAAAACCAAATCACCCGGGGAAAATTAAATCTCTCGGTGACGCCGATCTACAAAGAGCTTCATATGTTGCTGAGCCAACCTTAGGTGCTCCTTAAGTGCATCCAATATCTGATTACGCTCCTGAAGTTGGACAGCGACCTCATGGACAGCAGTTGAACCATCTTGAAAACGGTAGAGAGTAAGAAGATTGCGGCCATAGACAGCCCGAAAAGGGGAACACTGAATGGACGCATTATAAGATGTGTTGAACCAGTATTCAGCCCATGGCAAAAAGGAAAGCCATAACCGTGGCTTGTCACAAGTAAAGCAGCGAAGGTACGTTTCCAAACAACGGTTGGTAACCTCAGACTAGCCGTCAGTCTGCGGGTGGTAGGCAGTGCTCGGCTGGAGTTTGGTCCCCTGCAGTTTGAACAACTCACGCCAGAACAGACTCATGAAAATCGGGTCGCGGTCACTCACAATCGAACGGGGAAAACCATGAAGGCGGACGATTTCACGAACAAATATTGAGGCTACCTGCTTAGCTGAGAACGGATGAGCCAAGGGGCAAAAATGGGCGTATTTGGAAAGCCGGTCGACGACCACCAAAATAGTGTCCATCCCCTGAGATTTAGATAGACCCCCAATGAAATCCATAGCGAGATCTTCCCAAATTTACTGCGGAACCGGCAAGGGCTGCAACAAGCCCGCTGGTGACAGAGCTTCCGTTTTAGCCAGTTGACACTTTTCGCAGCTGGAGACATAATAATCTTTGACAATTTGTTTCATACCTTTCCAATAGAAATTTGCCGAAATCCATTTGTACATCCGTAAGAACCCGAGTGGCCCCCTATGACTGAACTGTTGAAGTCATGAAGCACCTGAGGTATCCAAGCTGTTGGTAGAACTATCCGGTCCCGTAACCACAATAATTCATTGCGAACAACATAGCCTTCACTCACGGGCCTACCCTGGCAGATTTCCATGATGAGGGCACGACAATCTGCATCCTCGAGCTGTTCCTGTTTGAGGGCTTCCGTGTCGACCTGGTGAAGGACAGAGAGAGCTGCAAACTGTACAGGTGAGTCTTCCCCACGGCGCGAAAGTGCATCCGCCACCCAGTTCGCTGCACCCGGCTTACATTGCACCTTGAAGTCATAGCCCAGGAACTTGGTAATCAGCCGCAACTGCTCGGGTGGTAAGACTCGTTGGTCCAAAAGAAATTTTAGGCTCTGTTGATCCGCTCGAATGATAAAATGTCACCCCAAAACGTAGTGCCACCATTTTTGGACGGCCAAGACAATCGAGAAGTTCTCGTTCATATACTGACTTCAACCGGGAAGAGGGAGAAAGAGTCTTACTGAAATATGCAATCGGCCTCCCGTCTTGCATCAACACCGCGCCAACCCCACTGCCCGTGCATCAGTCTCTAGGATAAACTCCCTAGTGAAATCCAACATTGCTAATACTGGAAGTTCAATCATGGTGCGCTTAAGTCAACAGAACGCGGCCTCCTCTGTGGGTGTCCATGTGAAGGTTCCTCTCTTGAGCAAATCAGTGAGGGGCCGAGCGAGTGAGCCATATCCCTGAACAAACCGTCGATAGTAACCAGCGAGACCGAGGAATCCACGAAGTTCGCGGACATTTCGCATAGATGGCTAGGACAACATCGCGTTGATTTGGAAGGATCTGCAGACACTCCCTCTGCCGAGAGCACATGTCCCAAATAATTGATCTGCATTTGCCCAAAGACACTTCCCATAGTTAGCAAACAAAGCCTCGCTATGCAACACTTCTAACACGTTCCGCAGGTGAGTATAGTGGTCCTCCCATGACCTGCTATAAACCAATATATCGTCAAAAAACACAAACAAATTTTCGCAGGAAAGGGCGGAATACCGAGTTCATTAGTGCTTGGAAGGTGGCCGGCACGTTGGTAAGGCCGAAGGACATGACGAGGAACTCGTAATGCCCCTCATGCGTACGAAAAGCCGTCTTCTCCACATCGCTCTCGCGAACCCGTATCTAATGATAACCAGACTTTAAGTCTAGTTTAGAAAACACCATCGCGCCATGTAATTCGTCCAACAGCTCGTCAATTATTGGAATCGAGCACTTGTCCAGAATCGTCAGCTGATTCAACGCTCTGTAGTCGACGCAAAATGGCCAGCTGCCATCTTTCTTCTTGATCAGGAGCACCGAACTAGCATAAGGACTGCTGCTAGGTCGAATGATCCTAGCATCATATCCGCTACTAACCTCTCAATTTCAGCCTTTTGAAATAGGGTCTGATGTTTGGCGGTGTGGCGCCATCTCGAGGGACAATGCAATGCTCCCTTGTGCGTGGTGGAGGCAGTCCCTCAAACATGCTGAATACAGTGTGGAATTCCCCGATGAGTTGTTCACACCGTGGCGGGATTGGGCGGATTTCACTTTCAGCCTGACTGTCGTTTGCTGTGCGAATTTCCAACAGTACCCCATCCCTTGTATTGGCCCAAATCCGAGATAAGGAGCGCAGGCTTCTCGGGAAATAACTCAAGGAAAGGTCACCTGTCCAACATACCCACTCCGCCCCTTTCTAAAACCTCATAGTGAACTTGGCCCAATCCGCTCGAACCTCCCCTAACGTCCGCAACCATGAAATTCCTAAGACCAGATCGGCACTGCCCAACTCAAATGGAAAGAAATCTTCGACTACCTGATGTCCCTGTACAAGCACCTGTACCCCCCTGCAAACTCCACTCTGTTGGAAACTCATTCCATTGCCTTACCTCGATCTTGTGCCGAACGGTTAAATCAGTGGGTATGGCGAGATTGTGCACTAGATCCTCAGCAATGAAGCTGTGAGAGGCTCCACTATCCACCAAAATAATCACCTCCCTCTCTCCCAGCGTCCCCTTTAGCTTCATCGTTTTTGCCGTGACCATTCCCTTGAGAGAGTTCATAGATAACCCTAGGGCTTCCTCTGCGGGCCTTCCCGCATCCTTGGTCGGCTCTTCCTCTTCTTCCTGGCTCTCCCCTTCACTTCCCTCGTCTTCCCCCACTGTGAGAAGCACCTGCAGCTGCCAATTTTTGCATCAGTGGCCTGGGCTGAATTTCTCATCGCACCTGAAGCATAACCCACGTGCTCGCCTCTGCTGGACCTCATCGTAGGATAATCGCCGGAAATTGGGGCCACCGTCCGCCGTTGGACCTCTTGTCGTCTTGGGTTCGCGATTTCGTTGAGCCGTACCTAGGTCTCACGAATTTTGGGATCGAAGGGAGCTCTCAAGTCTTTCTACGGGGCTGTAAGTTGGCGGATTCGGGTTTGGGCTGCTAAACCCAACTCACCTGCCCCACTCGGATCGGATATTTCGCCCCGCCCGAACCTTCCGGATCCGATCCACGGCCTCCAACCGGTCCTTTGCTTGCTGGGCTAGATCCATAGCCTCCCTCAGGTTAATGGGCCTATGCATTTTTACCTCAGCCCTGATGTCCTCCCTCAGCTCATTGAGAAAAGCCCCTGGGAAGACATTCTCAGGTATACCCCTCATCGTCGCTACGAGAGTCTCGAACTCTTCCCTATACTCCACCACCGTCCCACCTTGTCGGAGTGCCATCAGCCTTTCCGTTGGATCTCCCTCCTGAGAGCGGCCGAAGCGATGGAGGATGGCTTCCCGTAAGTCCATCCAACCGACGAAGGGCTCCCGACCGTCGACCCACTGGTACCACCCTAGTGCTCTCCCCTCCATGCAGACGGAAGCCGCCAAGACCTTCTCTCCCTCATCAATGTCGTTAATTGTAAAATAACGTTCGGCTCGGAAAATCCACCCATGTGGATCCTCTCCATGAAATAAAGGTAGTTCCAGTTTCTTACCTTGGTGTTCCATCCGTGCACGTGGTCTTTCCGGTGACTGGTAACGGTGATAGCCATCTCTTCCCCTCGTGTGTTCTCTCCTCAGTGGGCTTGGATCTGCTCGGGCTGGGCGGCCAGGTTCTCGCCTGGGTGGAGTCTGATCGTTCCGGATCTCCCCTGGGGGAGAGTAGTCTTCCCTAGCTCTCCTCAGAGGAGAGTGTGGGTTGCGAACTTGCTAGATCATGAGCTCCTCGAGTCAGTTGATCGTTCCCTGTATACCGTCCACCTTGGCTCCCATCACGGCTACTTCCCCTTACACCTCGCCGAGCCTCACTCCCGCGGACGCCACCTCCTCCTGCAACCTTGGCACTAGGTCCACCAATGTTTCGAAGGTTTGTAGAGCATTCTAGAAATTGTTCAGCCTCCTCTCCAGCGGTCCCCAACGATCTTGCTGGTTTGCCATGGATCGATCTCTGATACCAAATTGTTAGGCTCCTGGGAATTCTTTTTGGAAATAATTGTTGATTGGAAAGAACAATAGCGTAATTGAATGGAAAATAACAAGAAAACAGGTCGGGTTCCTTTTATTAAAGCAAAAGAAATGGAAATACAAATAATAGGGGAATTCGAGGACCCTCTAGCCTCCCAAGTGATCATCTCCTAATAGCAAAATTCTCGATGCCTTCTCTATTCCCGGCCTAGGCTATTTATTCTCAACCCTGTAACTAACAAGCCATAGCCCTCCTATCGTAACACGAATCCCCTTGCCTTCTCACATCCCAATGCCGAATATCCTAACCGTAACGCTTACCCCGAAGCTAACTGATACTCCAAATTACCCTCCAGCCCTTGCTTGCACTTCTTCCTCCTTCTGGCATACACGAACTTGAGAGGTGGAGACTGATGGAAACCTCAACTAATTGACAGAGAACGAGACAAAGAAATGAGAATTTTATTCAAATGCAAGAAATCAACTCACTTTAACAATGGTGATATTTGAGAGATCATTGACTCTCCTCTATAAACTCTATACAACCCAAAAAGCCCCCAAAACTCTCGAGCCCCAACTTATTTATAGGCTCCCCTGCTAACACACTAACAAACTAACCAATTTTAGTTATTACTAAAGAAGCTTCCTCAATAAGACTGTTGAAAGCTTTCTCAACAAGATTCCACAGTAACCCATATCCACGTCAACAACTAATCACTAACGTTTCTTGGTTATTTATAGGCTCCCTAACACACTAACAAACTAACCAATTTTAGTTATTACTAAAGAAGCTTCCTCAATAAGACTGTTGAAAGCTTTCTCAACAAGATTCCACAGTAACCCATATCCACGTCAACAACTAATCACTAACGTTTCTTGGTTCTTATCTCTTCACACCTGAAGCATAATCCACGCTCCCTGCACCGCTGCAATTCAGTGTCAGAAATTTTCTTCCTGAAGCTATCTTGTTTCCTCGTGGACTGAGAAAAACTATTTTCGTGGCTCTTGTTGACCGACACGCCTAATTGGCTGGAGTTGGTATGTGTCAACTCTGGGGATCCCTCATTTTTTTCCACCAGTTTCAGTGGATTCCAACTGGAGCCACTACCCGGCCAACTTGCAATGCCTCCAAGTGTTGAATTCTTCATCCCATCAATTCTGAAAAATCCAGCCCCTTCACCACTTGTTCCAGCTCGTTAAGTCCTCAACAACTAGGCCCGCCCAAGGGCCCAATTCTTTTCTTCAATTTTTTGGGCCATATCCATCAGTTGAGAGAGGCAGGCTTTCACCATTCAGACTTCCGCCTTGATCTCCTCAGCTAGACCATTTGAGAAGGCTCCCATTAGAAACTCCTCGTCGGCTTCTCGCAAAGGGGACGAGAGCAACTCGAATTTCTCACGAAACTCCGCCACCGACGAGTCTTGTCGCAAAGCAATCAAAGCCTCGTAATGGTTGCCAGTTTGCGAAGACCGAAACCGCTGTATCACGGACTCCTTGAATCTCGGCCATGAAATGTGACCAGATCTGGATTCCATCCACTAGAACCAGTTCAATGCCTTCCCTTCAAGACCGATAACAGCCGCCGCCACACGTTCTGCCTCTTCGACGCCTTGCACCTGAAAAAACCGCTCAAGCTAAAATAGCCAACCGTGCGGATCCTCGCCACTAAGGAGAGGAATTTCCATTCGACGGAAACGCGGTTCCCAACCGCTCGGCGCTGGTCCATTACCGGAACGATTTGCCGCCATGGTAGGACCACCACCTTCATCACCGCTTGAAGCAGATGCATTAGCTTGCTCGGCCTATGGATTCGCATTGCCTCCCGATCGCATCCAACCGGTAAGTTCCTTCATATACTCCCTCACGGCTCCCATATCCTCTGAAAGTTGTCCGACAACCGTTTTGAGTTCTCCGACGTCTCTCTCAACAACTTCCATTTTACTGACTTTTGAAGCGACCATTCCCAGACGAAACTGCTCTGATACCAATTTGATGGAAACCTCAACTAATTGATAGAGAACGAGACAAAGAAATGAGAATTTTATTCAAATGCAAGAAATCAACTCACTTTAACAATGGTGATATTCGAGAGATCACCGACTCTCCTCAATAAACTCTATACAACCCAAAAAGCCCCCAAAACTCTCGAGCCCCAACTTATTTATAGGCTCCCCTACTAACACACTAACAAACTAACCAATTTCAGTTATTACTAAAGAAGCTTCCTCAATAAGACTGTTGAAAGCTTTCTCAACAAGATTCCACAGTAATCCATATCCACGTCAGCAACTAATCACTAACGTTTCTTGGTTCTTATCAGAGACCTAACATGAACCTTTCAATTTTATTTGGAAATCTTGTGCTCCTAGAATTAAGGTATTTGCTTGGTTCCTTTTTCATAGAAGGCTTAATACTTGTGAAGTGATTCAGAGTAAATATCCCCATCTTGCCCTTTCTCCTAACTGGTGCGTCTTGTGCAAGCAAAATGATGAGACTATAGATCATTTGTTTTTGCAATGTGATTATGCACGCTCCCTCTGGTGCAAGTTATTTACAGCTTCTGGTCTTAGTTGGGCAGTTCCTGCTCGGTGTAACGATGTAATGGTGGAAAAATCATTTGGTTTTGGTAAGGGTAAGAAAGCCCGTGTGGTTTGGAACCTCTTAATGTTGCTATCTTCTGGGCAATTTGATTAGAGAGAAACCAGAGAATTTTCAAAGAAAAGGAGACGCTAAAAGAAGATTTGTTCGATAAGGAAAAAATTTTGGCTTCCCTGTGGGCTTCACCAGACTCAACCTTTAAGGATTTCCCACTTTCCTTGATTTTACTAAGTTGGGAGGATATTAAAGGTTTTCCCACGTTCCTTGATTTTGTTAAGTTGGGAGAATACTTTAGTGTAGTTTGTATGGTGTTGTAGTTAAGTTTTTGGTTTTGTGTTTATTGATCTGGTTTGTTTCTGTTAGTTTCCTTCTTTCTTTTGGATGGATAGCTCATTCATCCTCTCTCTGTAACTTTTTGATGACATCAATAAAGTCATCAGTTTCTTATCAAAAATAAATAAATGAATAAAACACTGTAAACTCAAATTCCACCAGAGGAAAAAAGAAAAAAAAAAGAAAAAAAAAAAAGCAAAAACAAAAAACAAAACAGCTCAAACTATAATTAAAAAAAAAGAAACACCTCAAACTCAAATGATTGCTGAATAGCTTCTTGAAAATCCAACTACTCCTAGAAGAAATGGGAAGACAACCAAATCTCATAAGTCATAACAGTGAAACAGATTTAATTATAAGTAAATATAAAGTCACACATTTCCAATTGCATTAGTGCTACCATGACACGTCCCATTACATGCAGGTTGTCGCAACAATAATTCTAAAGGCAACAAGTCTTTAATTGCCACCTGGTTAATAAATAACCACAACCTTATGCACTTGGATTTGAATATGATCTTTCCCATATATTGAGATGCATTTACTGACTAGATGTCTAGTGTACAAAGAACAATGAGGTTTCAGAAGCTGAATGATTCAAGCTAATAAAGTAATGTCTTTTAATCCCTAAAAATAAGTTATGTTTTTCAACTTTGCAGGAGATGGCACCAAAAGGGGGTTGAATGCAGTGGCAGAACCATCAAATTTTAGAATTCTAATTGTTACCCTCAAAAATTCTAATTGTACTCTTATTTTATAAGGAAAATAAGAATTGTGTCTCCATTCAATAATAGGAATATATAATTATGTCTACATTCAATTTAAAACAAAAAACAAAGGCTCCACCACTAGTTGAATGTGACAAAATCTTAAGCAGAAAGTTGGCATCTGGCCATTTCACTTATTTAAAAAGAAAAAAAAAATTCTCAGGAAAAAACGAAGTGACATTCCGGTAACTAAATATCATATAAACTAACAACCAGATCAAGATTCAGCCACCGCAATTCAAAAAACAAAAACAAAAGAGAAAACAAAAAAGAGAAATTTAGCTTACAATGACGAAATATGTGGCTACAAGGAGAAAACCAGAAGGTCCAAAAGCGCGCCAAGTGAGAGTTCCCAGCAGGAAAGCAGCTACAATGCCGGAGAAAGAAAGCCCACCGACCAGAATCGGAGAACCCAGAACGAAGATCACAAAGTTGCTGAGAATGGCGGACTGCCACGTGGGAGGCGACGATTGGATCAACCTCACGGCCTCCGACACGGCGGTCGGAACATTGCCGGCGTGGACCATCGTCGTCTTCGTCGGCGTTGGGCAATTGGGAAATTTGGGAATTAGGGTTTTTCTGGTTATGGTTTTATAGAGAGAGGAGCGGTGCAAGTGTAGAGAAGGAATCGGAGTAGACTTATTGTGGATGGGAACGTGCAGAAGAAGAAGAGTTGAAGAAGCCAAAGACATTTTTCTTCTGTTTTTTTTTTCCCTTTTTTCCTTTTTCTTTTTTCTTTTTCGCCACATTTGAACTGAGCGTGTTTGTGAAGGAAAGAAATAAACAAGTCAGCAACAGCGAAGCTGTCTACGTATGATGGTGAGGGGGCACAGTTTTTTTTTTTTTTTTTTTTTTTTGCTAAAAATGGATTTCATTCCAAAAGGAAAAGGCCCGCACGGCTACATAGAGAAATAATATAAGGGGTTGCAATAAAATTTAAAAAAAATTTTAAATTTTAGTTATAATTTTATTTAAGTTCATATTTTTTTATAAAATTTGAGTTTGAATTCGAGTTTGAATTTGAGTTTGACCTCGAGTTTAAAGCTAAACTCGAGTTCAAGTTTTCCCTTCAACTCGAGTTCATAAACTCAAACTCAAGTTAATGAACAGTATTTTTCTATTCTTAAAAATGTAATAACTTTTTTGTTTTAATTTTGATTGAGATGATTTTTTTTTTATACATTCACAACAAAAAGATGAATAAAACTACACTCATATACCCTATTAAAATTTTTCATCACCATTGAGTTTTTATTAAAATATTATATAAATACAAATTTAAGTTTTAACTCACCCAAACACAAACTCAAAAAGACGTTTGGTTGGAGGATTCAAACCATGTGATTCAAATTATTTTCGATTTACGTGAATTTTTTGTGAGAGAAAATACTGTAGCGAACCATGAATCATGATCCAAATCAGGGAACGAATCCTTCTACCAAACATCCTTTCAATTCAAATCATAACTCAAATGTGCACATTCAAACACAAACTCAAATTACAATTTTAACTCAAGATATAACTCAAACTCAACTCAAGATCACCACTCAAGTCACCCTAACTTAAAAATGCAAAAGAACAACCCCTAAGCTCCATATAGGAGAGACTAAGGTGTTTATAGTGGTGTCAAATGGGCCGGGCCGTCCATGGACGGCCCGGCCCAGCCCGTAACAGTGCCAGATTCGGCACGGTCCTGTATGGTACTATTACGGACCGTGTCAGCCCGGCACATTTAATGGGCTAGGGCTGGGCCTCGGCTTCTCAACCCGCGGCCTAAGCCCGTGAAGGCCCGCATCCCGGCCCAAGCCTAGTTCGGCCCAAGCCCGAATTCGGCCCTTCGTCGGCCCGACCCAGACCCGTGAAAAAGCCCTCAGCCCATTCTGATTGTGACCGTTGGGCGCTTTGCGGGCCCAACGGTCACAATCTGAAAAAGCCCCAAAAATCCACTATAAATACCCTTTAAATCCACCCTAAATCTCACATAACAATTCACTCTCAACTTCTCATCTCACTCTCATTCTATCTCTCATATTGCCTCTTTGATTTTGATTCTAAGTTTTTTTCTCGCGATCACTCATTTTCTTACTCTTTCATTTACAAAGTTTAAGTTCAATCAATTTCGAGAAAATGGCCGCATCAAACTTCCCTGATTTCAATGCTCTTTTCTGAGCTTGGTGATGAGTCATTTTTCGAGGATGAAATGATGCCTCCTAACCCCACCCCCACTGAACCAGAAAATGATCCAGTTGATAATGCTTCAGTGCACAACGAGGAAGTTGGAGAACGCACTAGGGGAAAAAGACCGCGAACTTCTCCTACATGGCGGCATTTCACAGAGGAGCCCCGACTAAATCCAAAAAATAGGTGAAATGAAAATTCATGTGGTATGTAAGTATTGTAAAAAATACTTTTCTAATAAAAAAGATGGGGGTACTGGTCATCTGGATAAACATTGGAAAGTATGTCTACCGTTGCACTAAGGTGGGAGTGTGGACTCCCACCAACAAACACTATCATTCACATCACAAGGGTTGCAAGATTTTACATACAATGCACAACATGCTCATGAGGCACTAGCTAAATTTCTAGCTAGTGTCGAATTACGTCTTTCTTTTACAGATGATGCGTCATTCAAAAAATTCATACAGACATCCTTCTACCTGTAATTTAAACGGGTAAGTAGAAACACAACTCGTTCTGATTGCATGAAAGTGTTTTATGCAATGAGACAATCTCTTGTTGATAATTTTAAGACTTTTAATGCTACTGTATCTTGTACTTCTGATCTATGCGAGGGGTGCAATAAAACTGGACATTTACGTGTCACGGCGCATTATGTTGATGATGAATGAGTTTTACAAGAAAAAATAATAGGTTTTCGTTTATGTCCATATCCCTATAACGCAGCCACTATTTTTGGTACAATAATGGAAATTTTTTAGTTTTATAGGATAGAAGATAAAGTTTTAACTATTACTTTTGATAAAACGTTACCTAACATGGCTGCAATTAACATGTTTAAACGTAGTTTGAAACCAGTGTTTTGGGGAGAAATTTTTCATCAACGGTGTGCATGTCACATAATCAATTTAGTAGTTCAGGTAGGAATTGAATATATTTCAGCTAATCTAACAAATATTAAAGAATCTTTATCCTTCATATCTAGTTCTGGAGCTCGGCTCCAAGAATTCAAACAATATTGCAGGAACAGTCAGATGTGCCCAAGAAAGTTCTCAACCGACGTGAGACATAGGTGGAATTCCACCTATTTAATGTTGAAGGTTGCACTCCCGTACTCAGAGCTCATCACAACGTATGTAAATAGTAAGAACGATCAACTTTTAATTTTTGATACAGATTGACAGATTCGTGAGTATTTTTTAAATTTCTAGAAGTTTTTTACAATGATATTGAATTACTTTCTGGAATTTACTATCCTACTGCACATTTAGCTTTACATCAATTATTTAATATTTCATAAATATTTTCATATTATAGGTATACAATACTTTTTGAAAACATAGTTAAGCTAATGGAAACTAAATTTAAAAGTTATTGGTGAGGTTGTCCTATGTTATATGCATTAGCAACCATTTTAGATCCTAGGTGCAGAGTAGATGAGACTGAATCTTTGATGACTGCTACAGCAGAAAATTTAAGTGTTGATATGTAACTAACTATTACTAATGCTAGGAAAATGTTAGAAAATGTATTTGGCTTGTATGAAGCAAAATACAACACACGACAAAAAGAACAAGAAACTTCGACCTCAACTAGTAGTTCGGGGCCTAAAGGCTCGTCGTAGAGTTTCTTGAAAAAAAAAAGAGAAAATGGTAGGATCGTCATCAACACAAGCGTCTACCAAACTGGTAAAATATTTTGAAGTAAATTTTATAATCGATAACGATAAACTAGACATCTTATAGTGGTGGAAGAGCAAGAGCGATCGTTTTCCAACACTGTCTGTAATAGCTCGTGACATTCTGACAACTTTAGTGTCAACGGTAGCATCAGAGCAATCATTTAGTGCAAGCAACCGAATTCTTGATGAGAAGAGAACCATAATGCATCTAGATATCTTAGAGGGGCTAATATGCGTTAAAGACTGGGAAGATGCCAAAAGACGAAAACAACAATACACAGATGATTCAACGCAAGACTATTTTTCTATCTTAGAAATAACAGAATCTTCTGGAAGCACTTAAGTTTTGTAATTTACTATTCCTAGAATACTGCACTCTTTTTTTCTTCACTAAGGTTTTGTCTGATCTCCCCACAGGTTTTACTTGACAAGGTTTTTAACGAGGCAGTCATTTATGTGTACTTATTCGTATTATCTTAATTCAATAAAATCACATCTTTTGGAGACATATGATATATTTTCTTTTTTTTAATTAAATTTTAGAAAAAAAATTACAAAGGCCAGGGCCGGCCCGTGAAGGGCCTGGGCACAGGCCCGGCCTTGGCCCTTATGGACTAGGGCCGCGGGCCTGAGATTATCTCCTCAGACCCGGCCCTAGCACGACCCTGCACTGTGCAGGGCCGTGCTAGACACGGCCCAGGCCCGCCATAGGCCTGGGGTCGAACGTGTCGTGCTGGCCTGACATGACACGTTTGACACCTCTAGGTGTTCACAGAATCTATAAATCTAATTGATTCGCGAAATCTAATCTAATATGAAATTTTAGATCGGATTGAAAATGGTTTTAGATCGGACACTGATTGAAATTTTTTCAATCTGAAGGTTTTTGATCGGATTACGGATTGAGCACTTTTCAATTCGTGAAATCTGCGAATCGAAAAATATGTATATACATATATATAATTTTTATAATTATATATATATAAATTTTATAAGCTATTTTTTTTTTAAAATGTTATACTAGTATGTTTTGTTACTTTTTCAGAAAATTCAAGTATTACTTCAGAAAGTGTGGATGTTGAATTACTTTAAAGTAACGATAAAAATTTTATTTTGAGTTTAATTGAATATATTTTGTTATTGTTAATTGGATTGTAACAAGCTAGGTCTCTTTTTTTTCTTCTTTTTTTGCTTGAAGTAACAATTTAGATGTTTATTAATATTTCATGTTGTGTTTATTTTGTATGGATGTTTATTAATTTATATTTTTAAAGGCCGAAATTCGTGAATACGGCCCAATCCGCAAACTTTAATAAGTATTGGATTGGATTGGATTTAATCCGAAAAGATTTTAGATCGGACACGAATTAAAATTTTTCTAATTTACAATTCTAAATTAGATTACAGATTAACCTTTAATATGCGGATTGGGATCTGTGAACACCCTTAGGAGAGACAAAGACAAAAGCAACCTAAAATACACAGCAAAACAACCGAACAAGAACTTCCACCGATTCAGACAAGAAAGAAATGACCGGCAACACCAAAAGAAAAATACAACATCCCACTAAAACGCTCAATTAGGGAACCACTCTGCAGTGTCAGAAAGTGCCTGGATTGGAATAACCCCCCCAAGGAATGGAACCAAAAAAATTGTTGCATCTAGCCCGCTTAGCGAGGTTATGAGCAGCAAAGTTGCTCTCTCTATTAAGCCACGTTATCTCCTTGGCCACGAATCTGGAGCAGAGCGTGTCCCGTTCACGTTTGATGTTTTTATCACCCACGGCATAGCTTTATTCAAGAAATAATTCATTGCTGCGTTGAATATTCCTTTTTTTCCCGAATAAATTGAATATTCCAATTTGGTAATAACACCATTTTTTTTTCCTTAAATATGAGGACGTAAAAATGAGTTTGACC